ACATTCCCAGCAGATGGCACTGTTCAACAGTCACATGATCTGAACTGCATGAGTGATCAGTGATGCACTAGTGACTATTCATTACTAAGAACAATAAAAAGGGTAATAAAAGCACAATGGTAAATCAGTACATATTAGATTAAAAAAATTATCACTCAGCCTTTTATCTTTATGGCCATACCCACTTAAAAGGTTCGGCTCATTTAGCGGAACAAATCTGAATAATAATGGAGGAACAATACAGGAAGCTCAGGCGTTGATTAATGAGTACTTACGCAGTCTGCAGATAGGGCAGTTGTTGGCCTGGTAACGCAGTGTGTCAGCACAGGCATTGCACAGGCACAGGTGCCTGCAAGGGAGAATGATTGTGTCACGCAGGTCTGATAAACAAACCACACACTCGCTGCTGTTGTCACTGTTCTCATCCTCTGTGGACTTAAGAGAGAAGACAAAACAAAACACTGTAAAATAGTATGTGAAATCAGAGACAGAAAAAGGCAGGATGGATATTGTATTACCAGTTGTGCACGTCATATCTCATTTGCCCTAAATTCTCTGGCGTAGTGACGTGATTTACCTTTGTCTCCTGATTGTTCCGGTTTTCAATGCCGTAAATCTCCTGCAGAAGATAGCTCACACGGTCCACCTAAAGGATGAGCATGCGATACGTAAATGCAGATTACTGGCATGGGAAACATCACAGCAGATCCGCATTATTGTTTTCATGAAGCGACATGGCCTGATTACTGCTTCCACACATGTGCAGTGGATAAGCATGCATGAGTGTGGACAGATCAAAGCTTTCAATCCGTCTGTTTAATGAGGGATCCTATTAAGAAACACAACCATATAGCCACAATCACAGATATACTGGAACATGAGATTGTTCTTTTGCTTCAAGGCACAAACATCAGACTCTTACATTTAATAAAGAGACACAAAAATACTTACGATTTGCTTCTGCTTCAAAGGCTTCACTGAGAAACTGCCATCAACATGCTGTAAGTGAGGGAATATATATAACATTACTACTATAAAACAACAGAACTAGCTGGTAAAGTAAAAGTTTTTGTGCACCGAGAATGTGAGAGATCAAATATACACTTGTACTTTATTGGAAAATAGCCATTGAAGAAATCTGTGCGCATTTCCATACTTAACATTAGCACTGCTTGGAAAAAGAATGCTTTATTTCTTACCTCTTTTTCCTATACTCTTTAAACAACATTTAACATTATATCAGAAAAGCTATTCAAATTGAATGAAAGCTATTTTTAAAATAAGTAAAACCAGTAATTTATAGATCCTAAATCAATGAAAACAGATCAATGCATTACTTTAAAAAAATCTCTTGATATATTTATTAATCTGATTATGCTGTGTTAATAAAAATGTATTAAATATCACAGGCTCTTCATGATGCTTTCTGTGAGAACTTTTGTTCTACAAAACAAGGCTAAATTATGTTAATTCTGTCTATTTTCATTTTCTATATTGGCTACAAAACAATTTCCAGGATTCCAACTCTTATTGACCAATTAATTTCTGACCATGACTTTTAAGAGCCTGAAAAAAAAATCACAATTTTAAAATGTCAAATTCCACATTTCAGGTTTTCCATGATCATGTGAACCATGAATCTCAAACCATCCTGACTCTATAAAATCCTGCCTGGTTAATGACTTACTCAATGTTATTCAGGGTTACAAAACATGACCAAATGCTTACAAGCCTTCAGCTGACATTCTTGAGCTCTCAAGAAATACACACCCTTTCAAAAGCTGCCAAGAGAACATGTGCATGCCCGGTGACATCTGTAACAGAAAACACAATGTTTTGTGAGACAACAGTATGAAATGATATTATATAATTCTAACTGATTATATTTTTAATGGTCAATTTTTTTTTCCACCAACCATCTCCATCATCCAATATTGCTTGGACCACCAAAGGGAAAACGCCTTTGTCCAGATCAAAGTTCAGCTACAGAAATATTGCAATGTTTAATTCTCAAACTACATGACACCTAACTATTCACAATAGTTTTTTTTTTTTAAACATCACATCACATGACACTGATGCAAATGAGTCTCTAACCATCTAAAGAAATGTAATCTTAGAAATTCACACCTCTTCAGGATTCCATTTGGTGAAATCAATCTTGAAGGAAGGTAGAGAAAATTGCTGATTTATCCCTCTCTTATAATGGACCGTCTCAGACACCATTGAAGGGCTCTTGGGGCTGTATCTTTCAAAAGAAAATTGTAGTGATTATAACCAACATATCTCAGCATACCTGAGGGTGTCAATTACTAATAATGTGCATTAAAACACAGTGTCCAATGTAAAAGGGCTTAATCTTTTGTATTTAGACCAAGTGCTAATTGTACCACTGTTTCCAAGGAATTCATTAAGTTGCCAGGAGAGTTGTCTAGATGCCAGTGGGTTGTTTCTTTGGGCTCAAATGGCGCAAGCGAGGCTAATCAATCACAAGAAGCTTCTAATTATCATCTAATCCTTTTCCTCTATAAGAAATTCACTTAGTTACAAAATGTACACAACAAGCATAGTGATTTCGTATCATTCAACTGCAGAAACTTTACCAAATGTACTACTCAGAGGAAACTTACATTGCCATCCCATTGGTAAACTCCTCAAAGGCCTGACAGTATAATGTAATAGCCACTCTGGCATCAGTATCAAAGCAGAATTCAACACTGTAAAGGAGTATGGGATCTCCTGTATCCTCTGGGGTGCTGTCAGAATCATCCTTATACCTGCAAAAAATAAATAAATAAATCAAAATCAAAAAACAAAAGTTGGTTGTCAAACCGCCTCACATTTATCTCTTATTTCAGCATATATTCTACATTGTGGCGTCATCAGCAGCCCCTTCAAGCCGTGACTATATTCAGAATATACCTGACAAGTCGTAAAGAATCCTTCCTGATGTTCACCAAACTCCTCAGCGTCTTCACAGGCTCATGCGGTGCTGGGGTCACATAGGGAAACTGTGGAGAACAGGCCAAAAACGTATGTGTGAGGATGACATAAAGTGTCAAACTCTTGAAAGTTTTGAGCTTGTTTCATTTGGTCACCTGCACAGGTCTGTTGCCTAGGAAATTCAAATCCATATTTTCTCCAAAGAGATATCCCTCTGGATGGGGTGTGTCAAACTTTTCTCCTCCCATGAAAAAATGGCTGGTGAAATAATTTCCTGCAATAATAGCCACTCTGAACAGTTAATGTTCTCCCATTGTGCAATTAAAGTACAGTATGTGCAATAACCTTATAATTATTTATCACCCTAAACCCTAGTACATCCCTACAGCTTATTTTATTTTATTCCTATTCCATCTATACCACACCTGTACATACAATTTATTCTTTTTTTTTGTGGTTTATATTTATGCATGTGTATTTTATTCACATCTCATTTTTATTATCTGTGTGTTGTTGTTGTCTCCGTGTACTGGAAGCTTGTGACACTATAACAAATTCCTTGTATGTGCAAACATACTTGGCAATAAAGCTCTTTCTGATTCTGATTCTGATTCTTCTGATAAAGCCATTAGGGAGATTATCTTTGTTCATTAGACAAAGTTGACGCAGGATGATGTTTTAATGCATCCATGAGGACATCAAATTAGTATATATTTTCTACATATTAAATCACTGCCAAAGTAGATTTAGACATTCAGTAAATAACTGATTTTTTTATTTATTAATTTTTAATGGAAAGTAACAAACATAAATAATGTGTGACAATTCATGAGTGACACCAAAAACGGTCATAGTGCACACTACATTAGACATCATAATGAAGCTAACGTTTGTCAACACTATACTTAAGTGGCATTTTACCTGATTTGGGAGGATATCTGTACGCCGAATTGGCTTGAATATCGATATCTTCAACTCCAGCAATCCTCCTGCTCAGTACTGAACCCATGTTTACGTGTAAATGGCTGCTGAAGACCGATATATGTGGATAAAGGGAGATTTGTTTGGACAGTTAGCTGGATACGGTTTGCTTCCTCCGCTATGGATACATTCCCATCTCTGGCGACAACAAGAACTGCGAACAAAAGAAACCAACTTCTGTATCTGCGTTTGGGTTTTAGCTCTTGTGAAAAAAAACAGAGTGACTTACGTAAAATCCCTTAACTCACAAGTAGACGTCAAATAAACGACTTTTCATCACAATAAAAACAAAAACAAGACTATTGAAAAAGACTCTCTTCTGAGGAACCCATATTCTCGCGAGATGGGATTTTCTGCGAGCAAAGGATATTGGGATATGTTGTGCCCGTCTACCGTCCATCGTGGTCTCAGCTGACTTGAACAGAAGATAGGCACACCACAAAAGCTTAAAAAGAAAATTTATGGATGACAATGAAATAATTAAATTTGGTTTATTCTGTGTCTGTGTTTAAGATGTGATGCGTTTTTGTTTTTGTAGTCAAAGCATATCATTTTAACAAGCTCAGTCACGCACTGCTATTAAAAGTACAATCAATGTAAAAGTTGTCGTCACATGCTACCGTTAACACTACAAAGGAGGACTCCGCTAAAGTACATCAGGGGTCTTCTGTTAAGATGCTAGCGATTCAATTGGTGTTGGAAGATTTGTTTACCATATTTGGAAAGGTTGTAGCATAACTCGAATGGGAATTGGACGAGCGACCGTCATTCATAAATTCTGCCTACTAGAACTTAACAAACAAAGCGTTGCATGACGGGATGTGTAGTTTTGGTGTTAAAAGATCAACTTAAACACGTACTCGGTCTAATCCTTGTCGTGTAGTTTATATGTGCCTTTTCTTTGTTTCGGAATGGATAATGTCCCATTGTATAAGCAAATCGTAAACATCTATCTCGAGCGCTTCAGCGTATATACGGCAAACTAATGCAGTGTCATCAGAAACACAACAAACGTGGAATCCCGACGCATACAATTCCCATGACCTCCGCCCCGCTCTGATTGGCTGCTTCATGCTGTCGATCATCTGGCGCTCGTTACACCAGCGCTCTTACAGTAAATATTTGTGTTTGCTCTACCGGCTGTAATGGTGGACGACTGAAAGAGAAAAGCGGAGAGACTAAATCTAAAAAAAAAACAGTCCCGGGTAAAACACTATTGTTCGTGGCTCGGAAATAAACACCAGCGAATATGGATGAACTCAAACATCAAGTTATGATAAACCAGTTCGTCCTGACAGCTGGATGTGCCGCAGACCAGGCGAAACAGCTTTTGCAAGCGGCACATTGGCAGTTTGAGGTAAGCGCATATGCATGCCTACGCCAGTGCATTGTTTATGTGATGCATTGCATACTCTGTCGCGTGTCTGGTTGTCATTCCTTAATAATGACTAATAACAATGATCTAAATAGGTTTTCGTTTCCTCCTTGGACATCTCACATCTATCAATACCGTCTGCATGTGCTTTATTTTGGAATAAAACGGCACTTAAATACATACATACATTCTATAGTATAACAATTGCGAAAAGCTCAACAGAGACAGACTACTATCCAATTAGAGTTTACTCCAGATTAAATACTATAATCCTTCCCAATGACACACTGTACTAGCTTCCCATGCCATGCAATGAAGATGACCGCTGGCAGATTACACTCCAGCAGAGCTCAACACTGATACAATGTAGTGCTTTCGTTTTTCATTTAGATCAGCCTAAATCCTGCAGCCATTCCCAGCTCTCCGAAATAAGTGAAACTCCGACAGTTTCCCAGTCTAGCGTGATATAAATATGTTTAAATAGGCTACATATTACACAGCATGTAAGGTAATGCTGTGTTATGATCTCTCACTCACAGACAGCCCTTAGTGCCTTCTTTCAAGAGACAAATATCCCGTACGGTCATCATCATCAAATGGTGAGTATGAAATATGTCAATTTTGTTTATAAGTGTTTGCTTTATTACATTTAACTTTGTTTCTATTACATGTGTTTGTTATCTGACTATATGTGCTCCGTTTACATCGTGGTTGTAACAATAACAATGTAAAGCTGTAGCCATAGTGTCGGCCATGTTGCCGAGAGACGGGGCTTCTAGAAATAAACACACACACTGTGTTCACTGTTATTACTGTAGTGTGCAGAGGTAGGCAGTATTTCAGTGTTGCAGTAAAAATGAAATGAAATAATGACCGCAAGGTTAAAGTCTCACAAGCAATAAGCAGTGTCTTCCTGACTAGAACTAGTGTTTAATTCCTTGATCCCTGACTTATTTTGATTGACAGTGAAGTCATAAGTGCATGAAAAAATCTGCAGACTTGTGTGCTTACATCTGTGTGTTCTTTTGTGTTGGTTTGGTCTTGTTTGGAGGGTCCCTAAGCATTTCAGAATCTGTTGGCTCTTGGAATAGAATCGCTGATGGTGACTGTAGTCTTTGATCATAAAATCATTTACTCAACATGTGAGCAAAGTGAGCAGAATTTGTATTTTTGGGTGAACTATTCCTATATAATTTATTTGTAAAGCACAACATCACAGCCACAATGAAAGTTTGCCACATGCTCAGGCCTCTGAAGCTGAACATCTGTATGTGCTGATGTTTATTTTACTATTAAACAATTTATTGGGAAATAATTGTTGTGATTGGGCAGATCGTCAAGGGCTGAGATCATGCTTTGGACAGATGTAATGTTAGATGTTTGTCTCCTAGAGTGACCCTGCTGCTGTAGTCCTACAATAATTGCTGACCACGTTAGCTCATAACTCACCCGCTGAGCTGAATACTCAAACAGAAAGTTGGGTATCACACAGAAAAAGCTCTTTCAAACGTAGTTATATTTTATAAAGAAATCTGGGTTCTGAAACTGAAAAAGTCATTCACACTGAAATTGCTCCCTTTCAATGTAATCAGAAAGTAGGACAAAAAAGATGGATATTCTGGATTTTGTCCATTCAAATAAATTATGCATTTATTGCTTATGACTAATAGTGACATAAAATACACTCCGGACAAATGTGCAAATCAAGACATGTAATGTATGTCCTTTTGTTACTGTATTATATTACAAAATAAATTTTTTATTACAGCAAAGCAACAAAAAGCTACTGTGACATTGAGAGGGGTGTATCTATTTTGTGTTTTTCAATTGCAGAGCTATACAAATTTAAATTTTGTCCCTTCAGTATTGAATAATTGGCTACTTATATTACAGTACTTTTATAAAAATAAACATTTTTTATGACATATGATTTTAGTCTAATTTAATTTAGGTCATCAATTATTAAACAAGGATTTATGTCTGTTCTATAGGTGTCTATAATTTAAGAGTATTAGACATCAAACTTTCATTACCAAAGAATAATGGTCTGTACAGAGCAAAATTTGAGAAATTAACATTTGGCCCAAGGAATTCTTGTATTCTGTTCAGTGAAACTCTGACCATGAAGTCACGTCCAAAGAAAAAAGAAAAGCCTTATTAAGATGGCCAGTTATCTACATAATTAAAGTATGGTAATTAAAACAGGATTTAACACAAATAGTAGAAAAGGCTCTTTTCCTGGCATTGGGGCTGAGAAGGAAGGGTACGAGTTCTGGTAACTTTAACTGTGGTTTGTTCCTGAGTGTGACCTAAGAAAGGGTTGGCAATATTTTAATTCTGAGATACAGCTGAATTCCTGCACCTTACAGACAGAGGTGGGGAAAGGATAGCGTAATCTTAGAGTTCATCTTCGGAACACAAATTAAGATATTTTTGATGGAAAAAAAATAACAACTTTATTCAAGAAATCATCTCCTGTGCGTCACCCTAGTGCCATTTTGGAGAATATCCACTGAACGTAAACAGCGTATGCTGTTCTGTGTCAGCTGCGGCACACGGATACGCGGTTTACGTTTTGATTTGAATGAAAATAAAGAATCCGCGTGGGACAGCTGACACAAAACAGCATACGCTGTTTGCGTTCAGTGGATACTCTCCAAAATGGCACTAGGGTGACGCGGACGAGACAAATGGTTGAATAAAGTCGTTATCTTTTTTTCTTTTGCGCACAAAAAGTATTCTCATAGCTTTGTAAAATCACGGTTGAACCCCTGATGCCACATGGATTATTTTACCGATCTCCTTGCTACGTTTCTGGACCTTGATCATGTTAGGACCCTTGCTGTCAATGGTAGGGTCAGAGAGCTGTCAGAATACATCAAAAATAACTTAATTTGTGTTCTGAAGATGAACGGAGGTCTTACGGGTTTGGAACGACATGAGAGTGAGTAATTAATGACAATTTAAATTTTTGAGTGAACTATCCCTTTAAGGTTTAACTGGTTAGCATGGCCCAGATTGCCCCTGCTGGTAGCTCCCTGCAGATTCAAAAATCTGTTTTTAAATTCTGTTCAAAAACATCACATTATATTCTTCTAGATGATCAAAATAGCCTTCCCTATTACTCTTTGGAAGCAATGCGGCTAATTTATGAGTATTTAAATGAAATCACAACCAGAGTCACTTCCTTAAAATGATCTTTTCTCTTCTGAACTAGATTTGTATGCTGACACATGGAAACATGTCACTGCAGAACTGTCAATATTGTTGCCTCTTGAATGGTAAATTAATTGCTTGTGAAGTTCATCAAGTCACTTTGGATAAAATTGTATGCTAAATGACTAAATGTGATCGGTAAGTGGAATGCCAAGGTGGCAGCTAGTAGACTAAGCGTTAGCTTGTGAGGTAACTGAAAAACAAGAATGAGAAATGTTTAATTCGAACAATTATAGCTTCAGTTATATAATATGATGTGTGACATAATTTATAATACATATAGTGTTTTACAGTATTTAATGCCCATTCACACCAAGGACGATAACTATAACAAAAAATTTTATAATAATCGTAATTCTATGAGCCATTTGTTCACACCACAGCTATAATGGTAATGGCACAGAAAAATTATATCTTTGTAATCAATTTTCAAAACAGTTTTTCCAGCTGATGTACAATAAAAACACAGACAGCCATTCAGAATCCACCCAGCTTTAAAGAGCTGGAGCATTTAAAGCAGCAGACGACATGCAATGCACAATTATAATAAACAGAGTGTTATCCGTTGATGTGAATGCTAATATAGTAATCGCTGTTTTTATAGTATTCATTCACCCTATTTTCTAAATGCATGTTATAAATCTTATTATAAATAATTAATCTATGCATGGTTTTTTTTACCTTGTAACGTTTAATCAAAATATCATAATTGGACCTTCCAGTAAAACTTCTTCGGTGACGTATGCAGGATTTCTCCAATCATTTAGTCCACTTAAACCAAACTCTTTTTGAGTACAACGCCAACACCTCGAAATCCAGTCAAATGATGCATAGATCCAAGTCCCAGCCCTACATGAAACTGCTGCTGTTTCATCACGACTTTAAGGCCTCTAAAAATTATCTTGGAGAGCAAATGTCATTACTCTCCAAGATCTCTTTCAGTTTGATGATATTTCAACTGTTCTGATTGAACAACTTTTGCTGGTTTATGATCCCTGCACAATCACTTGACAGAGGACATTGCAGCCAGTATTGGCTGTAGAATCATGTCCTTGATTTTAACATACATAAGTATGAATCAAGTCTTGTTTTCATTGTGAAAATCAGCCGTTTTTAGACAATACTTGCCTATTGTTTTGCTCTGAAATCCCTCTGTACTGTGTAAATACTCAGGTTAATAATCAAGCCTTGAACTGAGAGATCATTTGTTCACATATGTGCAAACACTTGAACACACACACGGTATAATAGAGTGCAGAGATCAGAAAAACCTCTGCATCTCTGCAGTACGTGATTACAAATTACTGTTATAAATATCAAAGCACCTCCTAAAGGCATTGTCTGCCTGCTTGACGACAGCTCCCAGCATCTCTCTTTCTCTCAGAGACTCACAGATCCGCATACAGCAGATCACAGTTGTACAACACTGTTACAGTTACAATGGAACACCGCAGTGAACCGTCAATTATCTCATTACAGACCATATCATTATATTTCATGCACCATCTGTTCACTTTTCATAATTCCAGCCCTGAGTCATGTAGACATGCATATGATGAAGGATGCAAAACAGTGGTTGTACTAGAACTTCCAAGCTACAGTGTAAACATGGAGCGGTGATTTGCATCACTGTTTTAGTTCAAAGGATTTTCAAAGCCTTCCTTGGTTTTATGTTATATATTTCCAGGTATTTTCAATGGAATGGAGGACAGTTCCAATCCAGAAACTGCTTGTTTGTGGATTGGAACAGTCTGGCTCTTTGAACACTGTTTCAAACTCTTTGAGCACTCTGTGAACAGCCAGCTTCTTTGGCAATGAATGTTTATGGCTTACCCTCCTTGTGAAGGGTGTCAATGATTGTCTTCTGGACAACTGTCAGATCAGCAGTCTTCCCCATGATTGTGTAGCCTAGTGAACCAAACTGAGAGACCATTTTGAAGGCTCAGGAAACCTTTGCAGGTGTTTTGAGTTGATTAGCTGATTGGCATGTCACCATATTCTAATTTGTTGAGATAGTGAATTGTTGGGTTTTTGTTAAATGTGAGCCAAAATCATCACAATTAAAAGAACCAAAGACTTAAACTACTTCAGTCTGTGTGCATTGAATTTATTTAATACACGAGTTTCACAATTTGAGTTGAATTACTGAAATAAATTAACTTTTCCACATCATTCTAATTCATTGAGATGCACCTGTATGTATATTGCAGTTCTGTTTGGTGATGCTAGAGAGCAGAAATTACACACTTCAGCTTTAACAGTGTCCCAAAAGAGATAACATTCACTGGGTTTCCAAGTAAATCAAATGTAATAAAAAAAAAAGAAATATAACAAAGTAGACTGGGCTGTGCACCGCAGGTTGTTTTTCTACGCCAACTCTGACCTAATTTCTCATCAACAGATCTGTCCTCACAACCAAAATATTTCCATAGCAACCCAGCTGTCGGCCAGAGCATGTTTGTTATGTACACCACACCTCTTGAAACACGCTTTGTCAACGTTTCTGAATTATGGAGGATCTGCAGATGCATCTGCTCTCATTTTGATGGCCGTGTTAAGCCACTGACCGTCTTCTTCACATCTGCAACAGCTGGCCAGTAGGCTCATGTATTGCTGGATGCCATTTTGTGCGACTCTCCAAAACCGAGGGCTTTCAACCCCCCCTTAATCCCTCAAATTTCCTGTTGTAAACACTCTTGTGAATTAAAGCCATCCGGGGACACTGAGGTCCATTTGAGACTTTTGACCAGCCACAATGGGGTGATTGTTGTGGTTTTTGGAGAGATATCCTTACGGTGGGTCAATAAAAACTGCAGGCGGCAGTATTCAAGGTTGCTGACAGGATGGGACACGGATGCCAATGTGATTGCTGCAGTAAGACAATATGGACATGTTTCTCATACCTGTGCAAGGGCACACCAGGAAGTATCGCAATGTAATGCTGTCCATTCATTTAGCTTTCATTGACAAAATCTCTAGATTTCTCCCCACATATTAGTCCTTAAACCCATTAAACCCACAGATTGCTGCCTTGTGCAGATATGTGGCGACCTTTGAAGTGTTTATTTTTGGTGATGTTGTCCTGCCGCTGAAAACATCGCAGGATGACGGGGGTGCTCTCATGAGGCCTATTGTGTACCTCTGTAAATGCACGATTTGCTGCGAGTTCATAGAGGACAATGGGGAGGTCACAGAGGTAAGGAGTAGCTGAACTGCACACAGAGGAAGGCAGAGCGGGTGATGCCAGGGCAAGGCACCAATCAACACAGAGAGAGAGAGAACGCAAAGGAAGGGAGGGAATGTCGGAATGATCTGCTGGGACAATTTAGCAGGATTTAATTTTTTAGCAGCTTGTCATATGGTTTAAAATGTGTTTTATTAGTTAGGCATATTAAAGTAGTATTTAAAGTCAACATGAAATGGCTTTCACAAATTTTTACTCCTGTAAACTGTGAAAGACATGACCTGATTTTATCTATCAGAAATTGTTTGGTTTGGGAATAGAGACCTCTTTATGATATGAATAAGGGGTTTGTGACATCTGTCGCAAATCATGAAATTAAAGCAAATCATTTTAGAGATGGAACAAGATTTGATTACCTTTGATTTAATTTGATTAAAGTGTATTAAGACAAATTTCTACACTACTGTTCAAATGTTTGGGGTCTGTAAGATTTTGAAATAAATACTTTTATTAATTTTATTGATAATAAATGAGAAATGTTTCTTGAGTACCAAAACAGCATATTACAATTTACTGATTTCTGATTTGCAATTTCTGAAGGATCATGTGACACTGATGACTGGAGAAAATTCAGCTTTGCCTTCACAGGAATAAATGACATTTCAAAATATATTAAAATAGAAAACAGTTATTTTAAATTGTAATAATATTTTACAATATTACTTTTTTTATCATATAAATATAGCCTTGGTGAACATAAGAGACTTATTTCCATAACATGAAAACATCTTCCTAACCCCAAACTTTTGAACAGTTTTGCCAGATTAAATTGGATACATTTTTTATTATTGAATTTTTGAATTTGATAAATTATGTGCATTATCCAAGAACACATTTGTGATTCTTCATCTTGTTTGTTTTTTAGATGTGTACCCCCGCCAACACACCCGCAACGCCACCAAACTTCCCCGACGCCCTCACCATGTTCTCGCGACTCAAAGCCTCGGAAAGCTTCAACAGCAGCAGCAGTCCCAGCATGGCCACCTCACCTCCTCCACCTCCGGTCAGCTGGGGCATGACCCCACCCATACCAAACCAGCAGGGCTTATGGACACAGGGGCCTTCCCCCCAACAAGCCCAACCGCCCCCAGGCTGGCCCTCAGCTGTCAACCAGCAAGCGGCAACCGAACAGAAGGCCAGCGTCGCTATGGAGGCTGAGAGATGAGGGCCTGGACTACACAGAGCGAGGGTTAGGGGAGGGTCAGGGGCACTCGTTTTTCTCTCATTCACCAAACATGGAGGGGGAGAGAGTTACACCAAGAATAACCAAGCAACATGGACATTTACAGAAGAGGAGTGAAAGCCAAAACGAAGGTAATAAGAGAAATAAAGAAACAAGCGCACATTGTATTACTCAGAAAGAGAGCAACTGAAATTGACCGAGCTTTTTTCTATAATAAAAGAGTAGTTTAACGTATATGGGACTACGATCATTGCGCCCGTGGATTATTTCTGGTATTTTCTCAAAGATGGACGTCTAGCATCTAAGGCAGCAACTTTTCTCACATTGTACTTTTTATTCTTTTATCTGGTGTTCTTTATGCAAGACGAGAGTTGACGTTGCATGTGGATTAGCGATCTGTTTTTGCGGTTTTTAACTAACTAGTATTCAATGCAAGCGTTCATGTGTACAGTGTGTGAGACTTACACACTCAAACATTGTGTATCGGACTTACATTTTCTCTCCCCCGTTGGATAATGGGACTTTTCGTACCTCACTGGTCACCTGACTCTATTCAACCAATCAGGGAATCTCACTAGTTGAACACTTTTTCGCACTCGGACTGGAAGATATCCTCAAAGATTGTAAACATTGGTTGGAAATTTGATTCTGAAAGATCTGGATATTTTATAATCATGGTTTCTAGTTTTATTTAAATCTGTTTTGGGGGGAGCTGGTTTGCTGTGTTGTTTCTTAGTTGAGGGGAGTAAATCCATGCCGCTAAAGCTACATTAAACCAGACTACTATACAACATGTTTGCCACTTTGCATGACATATTCATGTGCATATCACATTTTGTAGTTTCTTGCTTTTTGGGGGAATTCTACATGAACACTTTTCGGGAATTCGGTCTCATTTCCAGGTTTGGAAAAAGGATGAAAACTCCAATTCCAGTTGTAATTCTGGCCCCATCTGCTTTTTCTTTTGACATTAATGTAAAAAAATTATAAATCTGAAGGAAAAAAAAAAGTTTAATTTCTTATTGGATGAAAACTATAAGCAACGCTGTTATATTATCTTTTTTAAGATTTAGTTTATGTCTGCTACAGTTTGGGCTGGAATGAACGAGTGGGCATGAGTCAGCAGGATATAGTAAGTGAGAGATCTGATTGCTGCATTAACACCTACTACACCCGTTCAGCTCAGTGGCCCACCTAGAAGCTGCAAGCATGTCCTCTTCCCATGACCTTCCTGTTGGTTTCTTTGCTCAAGGCAGTGAGTTCTGGGCACTTTCTTTTAAGCCTGACCTGAGCTATAATTTTATGTGACTAATCTCTCTGAAACCGCATGATGTTGACTGTGATCTGTGATCAATCTGTGATAGCAGATGGGGAGAAAATCAAGTCCATTAAAATGCTACAATGTAATATTTGTGATTAATTGCTTGCAGAAGAATTTTGTCCCAGTCAAGCCACTTGTTCTGCAAGTTCTCACCAGGCCCACCCCCCAAAAAACTAACTAACTAACAACATACAATTAGTTTAGTTATTATTTTTTTAAAGAAAATTTGCTGGAAATCATATAAACTGGCATTCAAAAGCTTGGGGTCAGTTAGATTTGACTGATTGATTGATTTTAAAGATGTCTCTTGTGGTCACCAAGGCTGTATTTATTTGATAAAAAATACAGGAAAAACAATATATTATAAATTAATGAATGAAATAATTTGCCATTATAAAAAATAATATTACATATTAACTGTTTTCTATTTATTATGTTTTAAAATTAAATTTATTCCTGTGATGGTAAAGCTGAATTTTCAGCAGCCATTACTCCAGTTTTCAGTGTCCCATGTCATTCAGAAATCATACTAATATGCTGATTTGGTGCTCAACAAACATTATTATTATTATTGTTATTATTATCAATGTTATGCTGCTGAATATTTTATGTGGAAACGGGCATACATTTTTAAGGATTCTCTGATGCATAAAAAGTTCAAAAGAACAGCATTTTGTGATGTTTTATTAACAAGTTTCGGGAGGAGCGCGCACAGATAATTAACACGGCCAGTTCATCATCAGTAATTACACCATCTATCCAATCAGCTCAAGAGAGAACCTCTATAAATAATCAAAGCAGCCTTACCTCCATTATCTCCCGTCCTTAGCATCCCTCCACCACCCCGACTCCTCACCTTCAGCCCGTTCCTACCCCAGCACGGGAAGGAACACTCGGGGGGAGCATTCTGGGTCCGGGCTTAATCCCGAGCTCAGACCCCTCTCCCCGGCCAGGGGGAGGACCCCGGGCTCGAGAGTAATTACCGAGCTCGGAGCCCTCTCCCCGGACAGCACGCCAAATACGCATAAACTTTACTCGGTTCATTATAAGTAAGTGTGAACTCGTGAATTTTAATAGAAATCTTTTGTAACATTATAAATGTGTTGAAAATCTACAAAAAGCTGGAAATGATGTAACTCCATGAAATCATACATTCTGGCTAGAGAACAATGGCATATGATGCAAAACACACTGATTTTCGTTTTTAACATACTGATGCATTCAAGTCATTTTTTGTAAATCAGTTTCAACAAAATTTCATCTGAAGTAACTAAATTAACAACAATGCTGAATAAGTCCCTGAAGCCCAAACATCTACATTTGAAAGCATAAAAATGAAGGAATAAGGTCAAAGAATGCTAACAAGAACTTCAAGCATGTGGTTCCCTACCGTCCTGCAAATAAACAATGAAAATGAAGCCAAAACAGAAAACTGAAAAAAGAACAGAAACATCCGCAGTGCCACACTCTCATGTAAAATGGACAAATAATAGTATAGTTAGTATATTTACATGTATCCACTTTTATATTATAGTTTATATACATTGCATTCAAAGGTATACAATTGTTTTTAATCAATGTATGTATTTATTGGGAATCAAACCCATGACCTTGGCTTTGTTAGTGCCATGCTTTTCTGTTTAAGCTACAGGAATATTGTTATATTGTATGTCCGCCTATTAAACACCCATTCCAGCTGAGTTTGTGTTTGGTCAGACAGGGGTAATAACTGCAAACACAAGCAGATATCTTAATGTCTCTCTGCTTACAGAAGATCTGATTTGTCCGCTCTCTTCCTCCCCCATGTGCACATACGCACATGCTCCCTTCTGACTCTGGCTTCTGAGGGTCTGAACCAACTCGCTCGCAGCAGATTAAAGCAACGTCACAGACAAATCAGCACAGCTGCCTCACCAGCACTATCTGCAGTGATTCTACACTCAGTGAGCCTATTCGATTCAAATCAACTTGTAATGAGCTGTTTTTGTAATCAAATGCTAATTTGATCACAAATAAATTGACCATTATGCTTTTTAAAAGGGAACAGAAACTAAAACAGGTCAAAAACAAACATTTAGAGGCATTTAAAGATGTAAAAAGCCACTGGGTTCACTTCAAATGAGAGTTGTTTTAGTATAAATCCATAATACAATGACCTAATCAACACCAACAGTTGCTGTTAGCAACACAATGACTTCATATTTCCTCAGACTAATTAAAGACTGCAGCAACTTTGAGCAGTGTAACAATATTTGCATAATATGTGCTTTTTCTGTTCTGTTGCTCACTGTTTTTGGCCCCTTTGCCCCTCCCACCCCACTTCATCCCATTGCCTATTCAAGCACCTCCCCCCGGTGATGTCATCATCCTAGATCACGTTTGGCACATGTATGGGATCAGATTCCCGCCTAAAGTTTTGCAGTCATGGATAAAAAAAATAACAAGTGTGAAAACAAAATTTAAAAACACAAGTAAAATATATTGCACAAGATTTAAAAATGAAAGCAAAATTTTCAGAATAGCAAACAATGGTCACGGATAGAAAAATAATAAGCGTAAATCAAAAGCGTAACGCATTTTTAAAACTAATAAGCATGAATCAAAACTTTAAACACATTTAAAATCATATTGCACAAAATTGAAATATCAATGCAAAATTATCTGACTTGCGCACAAAATCATGTTTTCTTTGGTTATATTTCTCTGTTTTTTCTGCTCTCAAACATTTTTTGCGCATGTTTTTATTTTTTGTATGCTTTTGCTGTTTTTCCCTTCGCTCTTGTTTCCATGTTCTGCGCTTGCTTTTCCAAACGTTGTGGTTAGTTTCATGTAAATTAAGGCGGGTTTAAGCGTCATCATTGGTTCACTTGTTCTAGATTGACAGCTCCTCCTCTAGCCAATCAGTCGAAGAGGGGCGTTGACGTAACTCCAGTGCGCCTCACTAGCTGCCAATGCTCAGTGTTGGTCACTTGTACAGGCGAAAATGGATATATGTCAACTGGGAAGCATCATTCCATACAGGACACCATTATATGTGTCTGCCTGTCACTGCTGTACGCCTGCCTGGCAATCCGTTAACGTTAAATGAGCCATCTTAGTGACCCGTCGTGGTTATATTCACCTGTATTTATTCGCCTATGGCCACATCGCCAAAGGGAGCAGCCACAATATGCACCAGCCTCATGAAGTCACCGTTATTTGTGCCTGGCTCGCCCATGACTGATAATAAGTCTTATGGTTATTACTGTTAGGAGAGGATAATATGAGTAAAAGTAATACATCCCAGTCACAATTGTTTAGTTTGCTGTATATTGCTCGTAATTGTTAACTGTCTGTAGGCAATAATTTGCTTATATTTTGTCATGTATTGTTTTTTTGTAAACAGCTTTGCAGCTTTTTCTTTCATGTACAGTAAGTAATTGATAAGGTTGATGGTTTTGTAAGATTTATCACATTTTGTTTTACTCTGAGATTATAAAATGACATACAGCTAAAGGGGTCATATGATGCAATTTCACATTTTTCCTTTCTCTTTGGAGTGTTACAAGCTGTTCGTGCATAGATAAGATCCCTAAAGTTGCAAAGACTAAAGTCTCAAACCCAAAGAGATACTCTTTATAAAAGTTAAGACTCATCCACGCCCTCCTAAAACGCCTAGTTTAAACACGCCCCCAACATGTCTACGTCACTGTGTGGGAAGATTTGCATAACACCACCCAAATGTTCGCTGTAGTATTGTTGTT